CATGGGTGGAATTTTACTTTTTTTTGCAATTTTTTGTGAAACATGAGATGAAAAATGGGATTTAAAAGGAATATGATGGAGAATGCCCCATAAGATGAACATGAAAACATATTTTGTGATGCATAAGATGGAAAATGCAATACAATGGATATACGTGATATCTTCAAGACATGGAAGATTTAATGTGAAATGAATGGGATGGATATATGACATGTGAAACCATCATGAATTTCTTTTTTTTCTTTTTTTTTTTCTTTTTTTTATGCATGGGATTGGAAGTGAAGACACCAAGTGCATAGAATGCTCCTTACCTCAAAATGATGTCTAAATGTAGAAAATGAATAACTAATCATACCTCAAATGTTTATAAAAATGAAAACCTGTCATATGCGGAGACAAGGTTAGTGAAGTAAAATGCCCTTTTGTGTCTTAGACATGGGATCGCTAACCTCACGGGTGGGATGCTAAGGAAACATGTCCTAGGGTTGGTATCTCTTTAAAGCCAATACATGTTTTCCTAAAGGGCATTAGGCCTTCTCAACCATTTATCCTTTTGGAATCAACGGGAGATATTTCCAAAAGCTAATACACAGAATGATATTATATCATCAAGTGTCGTATTAACCAATGGAAACAACCTAACGAGAACTGATCTTACTCCTCAAAGCGGGAAGAATTGCTCTTCCAAGCCAGATTCGTAAGGATTCCAGACTAAAGGTCGGGTTCACCTCCGACACGGACCTAATGCAAAATGAAGGTGAGTGTGTGCAAAGGGCATGACACTCCAATAACCTGCACAATGGCAACAAAATAGCAACATATATCCCACAGCAATCAAATAAAGCATGTAAAGCGCTCAACAAATATATCATCCACAAACAAACCTACTTACACAGCAGGAAGGGGCTCACCTAGTACTCCCATGCCAAATGCAAAAGGTTAGTAACATAAAGCAACCAACACTTAGCATGCAACAAGATATAAATAATCGCACGAGAGAAGAGACTCACTGAGTACTCCATAGCCAAGTGTAAAAGGTGAGTACATCCACACACAAACAAGTAGGCATGTGAGCATGATGCATGATGAATAAGCATATAATATCAATGATGGATGAGCATGTGAGATGATATAATGCATGAACATGTGAGCAAGGTATGATGCATGTCATGATATAGTAAGATAATCATTAAAATGCAAAAAACAGTAAAAGCAACAACCAAAACAAGCAACAAGCAACAAACAACAAGCAACAAACAACAAGCAACACGCAACAAGCACATGCAACAAATGATAAAGACCCACAAAGACTCAACCAACAAAGAAAAATCAAAAGTTGAAAATTCCCCAAAGTTAAAGTATTAGCTCGACCCTCGTGAACCCAGAATATGGAAACCAGAGATTCTGGGTTATTGTCCCCAGTGGAGTCGCCAATCTGTTGACGACCACTTAAGATTTTTTCAAAAACAATGAAAAATTAAGTGTGAAATATATAAGAAAAAGGAGTCGCCACTCGTCCAAATTATAAGGTGGGACAAGTCACCTAAAACGGGTCTGCACAGAGATCGGGGTTCGGGGGTTCGGTTAGGAGTGAGGAAGGGCATACGCGCACCTCACAATCCTCCGTTTAAACACGGTTGCATACTTTAAAATTGGGGTTTGATTCAACTTATTCATCATGTTTGTATTTAAGTCTTAATAAGCAAGCTTGAAAGAAGGGTAAACCAAATTGAAACATTTTTTTAATTTTTGGGCTAAAATGGACAAAACCAAAGACAAGCATGCATCATAAGCACAAATAACATTAAAGGGACTAATTTGATTAATTCGAAAACATAAAGGCCTGATTTAAAAAGATTTGAAACTCATGGACTGAATTGCTTAATTACAAAAGCTTGCGGGTGAAATTGAGATAAAATAAAAGAAAACTTTGACTTTGACCAAGATTGAAGTTAATTGAAAATTAAAATTAATTAATCAAAACAATTAACTTAATATTAATTAAGATTAATTAAAATTAATTAATCACATTTACTAATCATTGATTGAGATAACTAAATAAATTTAATCATCTCAAATCAAACTCAATAAATATGATTAATTTATTTTAATCAAGATTAATTAATTTTGTTAATTATAAATTAAACTAACTTTTTAATTAATTAATAATTTTATATTATTAATAAAAAAATTTTTACCTTTAACCTTTTTAGTTTTTTTTTTTATTGAATTGGGTCGGGCTGACCCAACCCAGAAACATGACCCGCTACTCAAAACAAACCAAAATAGATCAAACACGGCGAAGGAGACTTGCAATTAAAGTTCATCACTCTTAAAAGAAAGAACACGGTTTGTCATGAGAAAATCATATTCGCCAACAGCAAAGAAAGAGCAAGATCATCAAAACACCATAACTTAGTTAAACTTAGATTCTCATTCATTTTCAGGTAAACATATACAAACTTAACATCATGAAAGCAGACATCAGAAACAGGAGGATAAAAGAAACAAACACGGCGGAGCTTTCTGGGTAACAGATCGGAGTCCAATCTGGCGGATCCCACCCACGAGATCAAGCCCAGATCATTCCCCTCACTGCCTCCCCAGAAAGACTCCTCTGTTGCAGGAAAATACCTAAGACGAAAACCCAAAAAGAATGGACAATCTTGCTCGGCTCAATGATCCTCCCGCTACTCTCAAGCAACACCCCAAACTCAGACCAAGAGAACCAACCCAAGAACAAAAAAAAAACTCCTTTTTCAATTTACCGATCCTTCCTATTTATACCCCATCAAACAAAACCCTAACTCCCTTCTTCTCTCCTCATCCAAACCCTTCAATTTTTCTCCTTTTTCCTTCCACCGTTGATCGGGTGAGGCCAAAACTGGCCCTGCAGGACAGCCAAGAAAGCTGGAGCGTGATGTCATCCTGCAGGCTTATCTCATGCTCGGTTGACTGCCACATAGGCGCAGGATCTATCTTTGCAGCTGCAGGATCTATCTTTGCAGCTGCAGGATCTGGTTGCAGAAGAGGGGCGGCGCAGAGAAGGGGGCTGCAGAAGAGAGGAAAGATTGATGGGGAAGGAGAAGGTAGGCGGAGTCGGCTGCAGCAGCAAAAGGGCGCAGGCAGCAGGAGGCGTGGGCTGCTGCAGGCTCGGGTGCAGTGGCAGGGGGGCGGAGTCGGCTTGGTTGCAGAAGAGAGGAAAGATTGATGGGGAAGGAGAAGGTTCCAGATCCCTTTTTCTTTTTTCTTTTTTTTTTTGGATAATTGGGTTTTAAGTTGAAATGGGTTGGTGTTGGGTTGAGTTTGAGTAATTGTGGGTTTTGGGTTTTGGGTAACTTTTGGTTTTGGGATTTTGGGTTTGGGTAGTTGGTAGGCTTTGGGTTTTGGGTAATTGGGCTTTGGTTTGGGTTTGATGGGTTTTGGGTTTGGGTTTGTATTTCACCCCTCCAACTTTTAATTTCTTCAATTGAGTCCCTTCTTTCTTCTTCTGGAAATTTCCAATTTCCTTTTGCATGTAGCACCTGAAACAAAATAAAGATATATTAGTCAAAGAAAAGGGAAATTTTCATATTTTTATATTTTTGATTTTTTTTTAATAAAAATTTGAGTTATGACAATTGCCTCTCTTTTCTTTTCTTTCTGCTAAGAATGAAAAGAAAAGATAAGAATGACTCAAATTTTTGTTTTGTTTTGTTTTGTTTTTGTTTTTTTGTTTTTTTTTTTTTTAAATAGATGAAGTAAAACTGGTCGAACGACTGGACAAGTAAAGTAAAAACGGTTAGAAAACCGCAACGATTGAATTAACCGAATGAATGAGATAAAACGACTAAAAAGCTGCAACGATCGGATTGACCGAACGAATGAGAGAAGACGGTTAGAAAACCGCAACGATTGGATTGACCGAACGAATGAGATAAACGGTTAAGAAACCGCAACGATCGGATTGACCGAACGAATGAGATAAACGGTTAAGAAACCGCAACGATCGGATTGACCAAACGAATGAGATAAAACGGCTAAAAAGCCGCAACGATCGGATTGACCGAACGAATAAGATAAAACGGTTAAAAAGCCGCAACGATCGGGTTGACCGAACGAATGAGAGAAGACGGTTAGAAAACCGCAACGATCGGATTAACCAAACGAATGAGAGAAAACGACTAAAAAGCCGCAACGAACGGATTGACCGAACGAATGAGATAGCAACGGTCAAACGACCGAGCAAGTTGAATTGAGGTGGTTATATAACTACAATGGTCGAATGATCGAAAAAGCAAAGTATCAGTATGGTCAAATGACCAAAACAGTAGGGTATGAGTATGGTCGAATGACCGAAAGGAGCAGAGTATGAGTATGGTCGAATGACCGAAACAGTAGAGTATCAGTATGGTCGAATGACCAGAACAGTAGAGTATGAGTATGGTCGAATGACCAGAACAGTAGAGCATGAGTATGGTCGAATGACCAGAACAGTAGAGTATGAGTATGGTCGAATGACCGGAA